CATACTGCATATCGTATTTCTCCACCCGAGTCATTTCTCTCTGAAATGTCCCCCCACAGTGTTTCCCCTTCTTCTTACTTTGAATCTTGTCACCTTTATTCCTTTGTTATTGCAAAGATCTCTCACTCCAACCAGTCCTTTATAGAGCTGTCAATTTAATATCATTAAAACAGTTCTTTTATCATTTCATGGTGAAAAGCTCAAAAGGACTTCCATTTACCTATGCAGTAATACCAAAAGTCCTTCAGCCTGGAATTTAAGCTTCTTCACAGTCCATCAACTTTTTAATTATCATTTCCCACCATTGCTCAGTAATTCCTCATTTACAGTCATATTAGAGAACTCACTATCCTTATAACAAGCTACAGCCTCTCTTCTTCCATGGCTTACCATTCGCTTTCTTTCTCTCTTCTTCCGTCAAGCTCTGTATTGCCAGCATGTGGTATGTGTATCTCTGGCGTTACCAGATTGATTGATTATATGATTATCTAGTTGTCTAATATCATTAAATGGTAGGACAAACTTTGAAAATTTTTATATGTCATATTTTAATCAATATATGTATTAGGCAATAAACACATTATCACATCACACTCATGATTTCATGGATATCTTTCTCCAGGATAGGCTACAGCAGGTAATGCCACAGTACCTCACTTTTACAGATTGCATAATTATAGGTGTTATTAGGATATAAACAATATAGTCTCAGATCCTTAGCCAGGCTAATAGGTTCAGGAAGGGGCACAGGGTTCAGTTCACTCCAGTGAGAAGAGATCTACCAAGGACTTTAAGAAAGAAATTTCCTCACTTGGAAGAGCTAGCCAACAGAGGTAATAGCCTCCCCTCTCTTTTACCGGTTGTAGAGGCTGCAGATCAGAGGACTGAAACAACTAGAGTTACTTTCGTGCCAAAAAGGCAGGCAGCCTGAGGACAAATTCAGCTCCCATGGTGAGGACAAGGTTGAGAGAAGTTCAGAGAGGTCTGCATTAAACATTAAACCAATTCTAGGTGGACTTCTGTGACATGTGCCAACGCATTTCCTGCTAGTCAAGCCAGTTTGTGCTAGCGTCTCGGCCACTTGAGTCCAAAGCATTATGATTGATTCAGTATGGATGATATAGGTTGCTAATAAAGATCCATGCTTCCTCATTTTTTTTTGACCTGATGACGATAGTAGAAAAATGGCAAACTTGAAACATACTGGTGTAAATGGATAATTGCTCATAATCAGAGGGAGAGGGCCTGGGGGCATTTGGCAACATCAGCTCCACAGAGAACTGAGGGGTCAATATCCTGGAAACTTGTCATGCGTTTGCGGTGAGTGTGACAGTCCAGCAGTTGGGAGGCTCTGCTGTAGACGGTCCGTGTCGCTTGTTCTCTCTTTTCAGAAATGTGTGGAAATTTCATTTCTGGAAGCTGTCATTTGTTTAGCAAGTGAAATAGAAACGTTAGAGATAAGATTTATGCTTTGTGTTAGGCCCATTAGAGACCACTGGTTAAAAACAAGGTGTTCACAGTGTCAAGGTGAGCCTATATTGGAACCATAAGTACTGGTAGTGCCTGGCGTTTGAATGATTGCCCTGGAAGTTACATCTACTGACCGCTGTGCTCTAGCAAGCCTTATGGAAAGGTCAGTGCACACTAAAACAACTTCTGTTTTGTTCTGAAGTTCTTGGGCTTTCGGATAGGAAAGTCCTGAACATCTATTACAAATCAGTTCTCCTCATCTGTAGCCCAGCACTCCTTCCTAATCTGTCTGCCTCCACAAAGTAATGAAAATATGTATGTTTTGGGCAAGCCATAAGCTTTATTTATTTAGAAGATTCTCGCCAAAAAAAAAGATGAAGAATTGGGTAAATGAGGGAAATTTATCTTTTTTTTTTCAGCTGCAGGAACAATTTGCTTTAGAAAATAAATGTGGTCCCAAGTAGCTGTGAATGAATTCAGCATTCCTGGGGAATAGAATATTTAAAGAAACCCCATTTATCACATTATTTAAAATAGCCAAGATGAATGGATAAAGAAAATGTGATATATCCATACAATTGAATATTATTCAGCCTTTAAGAAGGAAATCTTGCCATCTGTGACAACATGGATGAAGCTGGAGGACATGATGCTAAGTGAAATAAGCCAGCCACAGAAGGACAAATACTGCCTGATTCCATTCACAGTAGTGGTCAAACTCATAGAAACAGAGAATACACTGGTGTCTTCCAGGGCCTGGGGAGGGGTGGAAATGGAGTGGTGGTGTTCAGTGGGTATAAACTTTCATTTGTGCTCAGTGAGTAAGCTTAATGCTCTGCTGCATAATACAGTGCCTGTA